TTAGCAGCAGCATTAGCAATGTTAGTGGCATTAGCAATGTTAGCAGCATTAGCAATGCTTGTAGCAATAGCCATGTTAGCAATGTTAGCAGTGTTAGCAATGTTAGCAGAATTAGCAACGCTTGCAGCAATAGCCATGTTAGCAACATTAACAGCTAGTGGCATTAGCAAATGTTAGCAGCATTAGCAATGCTTGCAGCATTAGCAGCATTAGCAATGCTAGCATCATTAGCAATGTTAGCAGTGACTTTTGATTTAGGAGGATACTGTCATAGCTGCCCAGAAAGTGAGCAAAATAATGAAAAAATTTTAGTGACATTTTTAACATTTTATTTTACGTTTTGTGCCCCCAAAAGAAGTCTTACAATGTTTATAAACTATTTAATGACTAAATTGCAAAAGTGTTTTGTTTACATTGAGTGCCTACCTGCATTTTTAGAATCCCATATTGTGAAAACCCACTAAAACTGCACCATTCGACACAGTTCAACCTTTTGCATGTTGATTTCATAGTTTGTAAAGGAGTACCTTCTGTTCTGAAGCTGAGCTGTTCTGCAGATCTCTGACCTGATTATCGCACTTTATGGGATTTTAATGTCCTGAAAGTGCCTGTCACCGGTGGTGGGGGGGAGAGGGGGTCCACGCTAAGTGGTTTGAAAAACGGGCAGCTCAAACAAAAACACCGGAGCATTATGGGCATTACGCAACGCAATTTGCGGAATACCCCACGGGCCAATTAACCTTTTTTTCTTTTTTAACAATCTGTCGGCCTTGCGTAATAACTGGATGCGCCGTGGTAGCAAATGCGCAGGCTGCGTCTATATGCTGGTAATGGACTGTAAACACGGGCAGCCTGCGCTGTGCAGGCCTCTCCTGCTGCCTCACAGCTTCACTCTGGCGGAGAACAGACACCTTTCCCATCCGCCGCCACCTGCAGAATCATGCGCAAGTCTCCAACAGCCCTCTGCAGCCCCGTGGCCCTCCTGATTTATTGCACTGCACACCCAGAAAACAAACAACAAACAACTGACAGCACAGACTGGGGGTGGGGGGAGACTTTAAAGCGGGAATCTTTGCATATTAATGCTATGACAGCACAATGCGCTGAAAAGGCACACATAAATATGCAGGGTGGCCTAGAAAGAGCACGGTGTTGATGGAGATGAAGACGCACCACTCAGGCCTGTATCTTAAATAATAATCATAAGGATGCCTACCTCCAGCGTCCGCATCTCTTTTTGTGTCAAGTCGTTGGATGTGGCACATTTGGTCCGTAAACCCTCCAAACTGGAAATGCTTATGTCGATCATGTTCTGCACCAACTCGCACTGCTGCAAGGCTTTCTGCAAACTCAGATGCTGCTCCTCGCTTTTTGTCATCTCCTCGTTCATAGTTTAGCGACCAGTGGATCTGATTTCTCCCCCGTTTGCGCTTAGAAAAATAAAACGAATCCCCCCCCACCTCCAAAAAAAAAAAAAAAAAAATTAAAAAAGAAACGTGGAGGAGCCCACGGAGTGCAACCTGCAAAACGCCATGAATGTTTTTTTTTTCTCCTCCAGAATCAGGGTTTGAGCCGTGACTCCATTGAAACCTGCAGTTCCTGCTGGATCATCCAGGTGTTCCTGGACTCGATCAACCCAGATGTGATGGAGACACCGAAGCATCCATCGGGTGCCTCTCTCGGATGGATGTTGAAAGGAGGAAAGAAAAAGGAAAAAAAAAAAGAAAAGAAAAAAAAGGAGGATGCTGCTCAGCGCTTCATCCTCAGACGGGTTGAAGAGGAGGAGGAGGAGGAGGAGAGGGGAAAACCTTTTAAAGGTGCTGATGTGGGGACTGGATGCGGGTCCTCCGTGTCTCCCTGGGCAGCAGCAGCATCCCGGTTCGGTCCCACCACACCGACATGTTTCCTGTCAATCAAACCCACAGCAACAGCAGCGCAGCGGCCAGGCTCCACCGTGAGGGGGGGCCGCTCTCGCGAGAAAATCCGGACAGCTTCAACACCAGGCCTGGATTTAAAAAAAAAATACATTTAAAAAACAGCTTTTCTTACAGAAACGGTCTAACCCTGCAGCTTATATGTGACTAAACTTTTAAAAATAAAAACACTCAGTCCTGCAAATAGCTATCTAAGCCATTGCTGCTAGTTCAGACAAACTAAATATAACTTGATTTAATAATTTATTTGTATGTAAAATAAAACCTGTTATTTCTAGACATATTTTTATAAAGGGAAAAATATGAACATGGCGCTCACTAAATAGTTTATTTTTTGCAGCGTTTTGTTTATGGCTGTATTTTTTTACAGCGTGCTCCGTGACTCCACCCACAAAAACTCTGAACGCCATCCTATTGGTTGTGCGTCATGACGCTTTGAAGACACGTTTGTTCTTGCGCGCGGCAAATAAAGCCCCAGAAAAAACACTGCTAAGTATTAAACCTTTGAGCTTTTTTTAATTTATTTATTTTCAGTTAACTGAACCCATGGCGTCTACAAGTGAAATCCCGCTGAAAAGCAGAAACTTACCATGGTGAGTTAGAAAAGTGATGTTTATCGCGGCTACGTTAACGTTGTTAGCGCTAGCAGCGAGCTAACCTATCGTCTTAATGATAGTTGCACCGTAGCTCTTCTGTTTGAATATGGCAAACAATAACTTTTAGATATTTACAAAATGGTTATAAATCTAATAGTTAGTTTACACCAATACACTGTGTTAAGAAGCTACTTTATTTAGGGTTACTTTGAATGCGTTCAAACTACCTAAAAGTCCCAAAACTTATTTGTAATGTATTGTTGACAGTGACACTATATCTGCTTTGTATTCCAGGGTGGAAAAATACAGACCTCAAAAACTAGATGATTTAATCTCACACAAAGACATTCTTAGCACCAGTGAGTATGCCTACCTTTGCAGTAAAAATGTTTGGTAATCTGTATTTTACAACATGTAGTGCAAACACTTCCTGCAGGCTGCCTGTGTCTTTTCTCATGGTTGTACTCTTTGTGTCACAATTATTAAAAAGTTTAAAAATAACAGAATGTTCCAGAAGAATCGGATTTTTTTTTTCACGCTGTTAATTTTATTTGTTTTCGTTCCCACAGTCCAGAGGTTCATCAGCGAGGACAAGCTTCCCCACCTCTTGTTTTACGGCCCCCCTGGAACAGGAAAAACCTCCACGATCCTGGCCTGTGCCAGGCAGCTGTACAAGGACAAAGAGTTCAACTCCATGGTGTTGGAGGTATGGGACAAATTATTGCAACGAGATGCTGCGTTTTGGGGGGATTTGAGGGTTTCTGAATGAGGATCTAGTGCAAGTGGTGTCCGGTCCTGGTCCTCAAGGGCTGCAGTCCTGCATAAATTACAAACCTCCTCTTCAGCAGGTCTTCAAGCAGCCTGTTAGTTACTCATCCAATCAAATCAGGTGTGTCAAAGCAGGATAGCTGCCCTCAGGAACCAGGATTCGACAATTCTTTTCTAGTGTTTCCACGTCAAGAATTTGACTCTTTTGTTTTGTAGCTAAACGCGTCAGACGACAGAGGTATCGATGTCGTACGAGGTCCGATTCTGAGTTTTGCCAGCACCCGGACCATTTTCAAGTGAGTTCAAACAAAACTTCTTACGCATACGAGGTTTTTAAGCTGCACCCTGCTACCTGTTTCTGTGCCCTCTTGTTCTGCAGGAAGGGCTTCAAGTTGGTGATTCTAGACGAGGCCGATGCCATGACCCAGGATGCCCAGAATGCATTGCGGCGAGGTGAGCCATCTGTTCGCCACGGCGTCGCCCACTGTGAGCTACACGGCTCACTGAGCAGCCACTTCAATCGACTGCTTTTAAATACTGGGTCTCTGCTATGTGAAGTTTAGATATAATTTTAAAAAATCAACACTTTCAGGAAAAAATTAGCTTAAAAGTAAATCATATGGTTAAAGCTGTTTCTGTGTTATTCTCTTTCTACCTCTGGGATAGTAATTTATTCTTTAAGCTTTAGTATGCTTACAAGAAGCGTGCCATATTTTGATTTATATTTTAGTGTTATCTCTGTTACGGGTCTTGTCTTACTCTTGTGCTATCGTCACACTCTCTCAGTGATTGAGAAGTTCACAGAAAACACTCGATTCTGCCTCATCTGCAACTACTTGTCCAAGATCATCCCGGCCCTGCAGTCCCGCTGCACCAGGTTCCGCTTCGGCCCGCTGTCTCCAGACCAGATGATTCCTCGACTGGAGCACGTCATCCAACAGGAGAAGTAGGAGAATATGCTTTTTTAAATTTTATTTTATTTATTTATTTTTCATTTTTCTTCAGCTAGAAAAAATAGTTTTTAGATCTGTCAAAAAAACCTGCGAGATTACATTCTGTCAACAGTTTATCGTTTTCTACCAGTGGACTATATTCTATTTTATTTTTTGTTTAGTTTAATATTGGTGGTGTCTTTTTTTTTTTTTTTGTAGCTGTGCATTAAGAAACAAAACAAAAAGAGGGCGCTGTTGTCCTTTGAAAATTTTTCATTAAAAATTACTTTCCTTAAATGTGAGGGATGCTGGAAAGAAGGTGAAAAGTTTAATGAAAAAAAAAAGACCAAATTTGTTACAAATTAAAGCATGTTTTGTACGGTGTTGTAAAGAATATTCCGCAGTTATGGACTAACTGCAGAATATTCTTTATAACGCTGTTTATGTTTTAGTTGCTTACAAAATGACAAATAACCCCATGGGCCAATTTGTGTTACAGCCAGCAGGGAAAAAAAAACATTAACAAAAAATGCTAAAAAATCCACCATAAAAACAATCATTATAAAAATATCTACTAACAAACACATACAACAGTCTACAAGAAGTATTTAAAAAGACGATAACAGTGGGTAAACATTCTTAAATTAGTTGGTTCTGAATCTTTTAAAGCAAATCTGCGTCCTGATGGTAAAAGAGAAAGCTCAGAACAGGGGGTGCTTAGGCTCAGCTCAAATTGCCTGAGCTTTCTTAAAGGATCTATTTCTGTGGAGAGTAGAGATGTTACTTAGTGCGATGTTGGCAGTTTTGCTGCAAAAACTGACAATGTGGTGTATGTGTTTTTTGTTTTTTTGTCAATAACTCGTACCAGATAAAAGAAAAAGAACAGATTCAATAAAACATGCTCATAATACTACTGTCCATGTTAAAATTCCTTAATTTATGATAAAAGTGCATACAGTTCCCAGATATTTATATTCTTCCACAACTACCTCATCATTCATGTACACAGGAGAGATGGCATTTTATTTATTTATTTATTTCTGAAATCAGTAATAATTTCTTTGGTTTTGCTGACATTTATGTCTAAAAAGGAAGACTTAGACCAGTTAACAAAATGTGACACCACTGGGCCATGACCAGGATCATAGAACCTCACATCAGCAGAGTTTAAAATCTGCCGTCCTGTGAACTGGCTCTGACACGTGTTAATAAATACTGAGTTTATCCAGCGTTTTTAACATTACGTCGTCAATCACCAAATATTTGTTTCATTTAAAAAAAATATTCAGTTTTTGCACACCAAATTAACTTTATTGGCTTTGCATTGTTCACTAAATAAATTGGAAGTAAAAAATGACTACATACATTTTATTAATCCAAGTTTTACAGAAAAGCGTTCTATAGTGTTTTTCTTTAACCCATCCCCTTCTATATTTGTTCTATATACATATGCTCTATTTTCAATACAACCAGATAGAAATTAGAATTTCAGGACTCAGGCTTCCCGCAGATCCTTAAAAAGTCTTAAAAGGCATTGAATTTGTCAATCCAAAAAATAAGGCCTTAATTGGCCTTAAAATGTCTTAAATCGATCTTTCAGAGGTCTTACAAAATGGTAACACATTTTAAGTAGGATGACTGTAAATTGTCTCAAATATTAAAATAATTTGTAACATTTTTTAATATATGTAATTTACAGATTGTTTTTCTCATTTCTGTGTTAAAATAAACATTTGGGTAAAATTGTCACCAACTATTTTTTTCCCCACATTTTTATTTATTGTGAATTGGGTCTTAAATGTAATTTCAAGTGATATTAAAGAGGTCTTAAAGTCTTAAATATAACTTACCTTAAGCTGTAGGAGCCCTGTAAAAGAAACATTTGAGTAAAATTGTCTTTTTCTTTCCGTTAGTTTATTGTGACGTTGGTCTTAAATTTCATTTGAAGTGGCATTAAAGAGGTCTCAAAAAGTCTTAAATTTAAGTTCCCTTAAGCTGTAGGAACCCTGGGACCAGAGTAGGGCTGCCACGACTAATTTAATAATCGATTAATCGTTTTCTTTTTTTGTTCTTTACTTTGTTTTTCTCTCCAAACTGCTGTGACACCTTCCACTGCCACATCTGCCTTTCTGTCCTTGACACACATGCACAGTAGTGGTAACTGGGGTAGGCCGTGGACGTCACAATTATACAGACAGGCTCTGGTATCATGGCTACCCAGCAACGGAGCTCAAAAGTGTGGGATGTTTTTAGGAAAATGAAAGAGAAACCTGTGTAATATCTGCAGAGCAGAACCTGCCTTCCACAGCAATTATTTTTAGTTAGCATATAGCTAAAATCTAATGATGGTTATATAAGAGCAGCTGCATTCTGGCGTGATAAGCTGTTTGTTTTATATTCAATTAACGTTTGATCCCATTAGTCGACTAATCGAGTAAATAATCGGTGATGAATCGATTATTAAAATAATCGTTTGTGGCAGCCCTAGACCAGAGTGATCTTTATTATATATTTACAAGGATCCACAGGTTGATTGATTCAACAACCATTATTCCACTTTAAAGACTTTGCAATTAATTCTTTTTTTATTTGTGGCAGGGTCGACATTACTCCAGACGGAATGAAGGCCATTGTCACGTTATCTTCAGGCGACATGAGAAGATCGCTCAACATCTTGCAGGTGATTGTCCCCGCTCTCAGCCTGATTTTAACTCTCCCTTTCCTATCGCGTGTCCACGTGCTAACAATAGAAGGGTGAACACGCGCTCTGCCTCTGTAATTTCAGAGCACCAGCATGGCATATGGGAAGGTGACAGAGGACACGGTGTACACCTGCACCGGACAGCCCCTCCGCTCTGACATCGCCAACATCCTCGACTGGTGCCTCAACAAAGACTTCAACACAGCTTACAAACGTATCCTTCAGCTCGTCGTTCAGGACGACGAGCTCTGGAGCTTCTTTAGAGGGAATAAATACGTTTTGTCTGCACTTCAACGGATGAAACTTGGATTTAAAGGAAGCTTTGTGTGTTTAGTTATTAACTGTAAAATAAATATCTTAATAATTATGAGGTTTTGCAAACTTTTTCCAAGTTTTGAAAACATGACCAAACGTTTAGTTTGTGTTGTATTTTCTTTAAGACATGTCACAGAAATCCTTCAGCTGAAGACTTTGAAAGGTTTGGCTCTGCACGACATCCTCACCGAGGTGCATCTGCTCGTCCACAGAGGTAAAACTAGAAAATCGTGTGTGGAATATGTCTTCATTTATTGCAACAATCATCACTGCAACTTTAAGTTTCTGCAGAAACATGACCTTATTTTATCAAATCCTAATGAAAAATTAAGTTTTTTTATTGGACTAAATAATCCTTTTAAAATATTTTATTAATCTATTTAGTGTTCTTATAGGGAAGTATAATATCCAGAACAAAAAATAGTTTTGTGACTTTGTGATTCTGATTGTCTTCTAGTGGACTTTCCTTCAGCTATCCGGATGGCTCTGCTCGTCAAGTTGGCCGACATAGAGTGAGTTTACCAGACTAAGTGATTCCAGGATTATAGTTCTGTACTTATTGTGCATCTTTTTTTTTATTTTAAAGACATCGACTTGCATCCGGAACAAACGAGAGGATCCAGCTGAGCTCCATGGTTGCAGCTTTCCAGGCAGTCAGAGACCTGGTGGTCAGTGAAGCGTCTTAGAGCAAAGTGTTATCAGCTCGTATGTAAAATACAGAATTTTTTTTTCAGTAAATACTTTTTACTTCAATAAAATAAAAATGGAAAACTGGTTTGCAAATGTTTCACCACAGTTCTGCCACTTCTGGGTGTTTAAAACTTTTTTTTAAACCAAATCATCAAGAACTTTGTGCTAGGATTGAGTTTCTTATCACCTTTTAATAGAACAGATCATTACAAGGATCACATATATTAGATATCAAATATACTGACCCAGATTTGTGCAAGAATAAAAACATTTGTACATTTCAGTGTTTCCCTTCCATATAAGTCCAGTTTATATTTTATATTAATGTGCAAATAAAGCAGAAATGAAAAATAAAAACACAGGGATTAAAATTATTTATATAGCTTCTATTTACACAATAAATTAGCAGCATAAAAGCATGATATTCAAGTCGATGTGAACATTTAGTTTATGCATCTCTAAAGTAGTGCAAATAAATGAGTGCATCTAAAGTCAATTTCAAAGCTAGTTGGTTTTCCTTTTTGTTTTTTTTACCTGTTGCTAGTAAACAGAAAAGGCATTTTGTTTGTGTATAAGTTTACTATTTAGGGTTTTTTAAGTCCTTATTTAACTTTCCCAATCCTCCTCGTCTGAAGAGGTGCATGTTTTGAGGCGTTCGGGGATGTTTCTGTAGGTGAGGTACTCCAGGATCCTCCTGGGGAGAGGCAGCGCCTCGATCTGGTGGGTGGACACGGAGTGGCGCAGGATGGATCGGCACAGGTGGCCCAAGGTGGGCACCGGCCTGGGAGCCCTCCAGAACCTCACGTGGCCGTCTCTGGTTCTGCCAGGACAAAAACAGACGAGTGTGTTAGAAAAAAATATATAAATAATAATAATGTTAATGTTCCTACAAAACAAAGGCTGTGAGAAGTAATGGTGCCAGGGGTGCTACAGCAACCCCTGGTAGATGTCAGAGAAAATGCACGTCTGAGAAACACAAAAGTAAAATCAGGTTTGATCTCTGCCTAATGTGTTTAAGTAAAAAAAAACAGACATTAAAGATTTTTGAAAAGCTGATGCATAAACCAGCACACACGTTTTTTTATCCTCTTGGACAGCTACTAGCATTGATAAATTAAGTGTTAGCATTCGAGAGACTAGCGACTAGCCTGGATAAGCTGGTAATAGCATTGGAGAGGCTAGTGTTAGCATTGGAGAGGCTAGCGACTAGCATGGATAAGCTGGTGTTAGCATYRGARAGGCTAGCGACTAGCATGGATAAGCTGGTGTTAGCATTGGAG